TGGGATGGCAACCTCTAGTCTTCTTTTTTATTTTTTTAATATTTTTATTTATTTCTAGGAGAGAGAGAGAGAGACAGCATGAGCAGGGGAGGGTCAGAGAGAGAGGGAGTCACAGACTGAAACAGGCTGCAGGCTCTGAGCTGGCAGTCAGCACAGAGCCCGACGCGGGGCTCGAACCCACGAACCGCGAGATCATGACCTAAGCGAAAGTCGGATGCTTAACCGACTAAGCCACCCAGGTGCCCCCCTCTAGTCTTCTTAAATTGCTTCTCCACCATGTATTTTCCATCCTACAAGTTAGGCAAGGCAAAGTGATCAGGGGTTTAGGATTCTAGGCTTGTTGCACCTGAGGTGGAATCACTGCCTGTCTCTCTAGTGGGAGGTGTGTAGAAGGGAGCCCTCATGTCTTGGTTGCACTGCCTTGGGATTTAGCCTCTGCAATGTAGAGCTAGAGATGTTATGAGAAATGTTGGATTTTAGTTGTTACTGACATTTAGTAGATTTTCTTGAATAAAAGTTTTCTTCATTTTCTGTATGCCTTTAGGACAATTTATAGAGACTTTAAAAGTTTTTTTAAAGTAATTGTCAACAGCTATAGTTGTTTTCTTGGGGGACAATATCTAAGGAGTTCGTCTTGCTGTCATTCCAGAAGTCATCCTGTAAAGTCTTTGGTTCAGTTTCGTTTAGATTTTCTTTGAGCCTTAAAAAGACTCTACATCTCAAGATTTTATGTATTTATACATTTATTTTATATTTATATTTTCTTTTATATTTGTAAAAAGTCATTTTATGAGGAGTATGGACACGTAAATTCTGAGCACAGTTTTAGTTCTTTTTTTTTTTTTTTTTAAATACCAGAAGATTCTCCTCTACTTCCTTTGCATGAGAGAGGAGAACATAAGTGACTGAGCTTTTTGATGAAGAAAAGGTTACACTAAGCCTATCCTTTGCTAGTGACAATTTCTTCTACTGAAATGGAAACTAAGCATTTAGGCTCAGTGGTCTGTCCTCATGATGTTACTTGTAGCCTTGGGCATAAGTCAGGATCATGGTGATTTTGCTACAGTTGTACCAGGAGGAAAACTCTAGAGACAGAAGATCTCTTAGTATCTCTAATTAGGAAGACAAGGACAGGTATGAGTTCTGAAATAAGAAGTACCTGTGGTAGTTATTCCTGAACACTGACTCCAAATTGATTTTTTTGGCACAACCTAAATAAAAAAAACATAGTATCCAGGAAATGTAGTTGAAGTGTCCACAGTGTGATGTAGACAATCCACCTCACTGTAAGTCTCTGATTTTATCATGGTCTGAGCTCATAGTCATATGAAATTAATTGACTCAGGACATAACATATGGAAAGCATTTACAAATGGTGATGACAAGCATTTTTCAATAGCTAATAACTAATATGTACAATGAACCATTGCATTCACTGAAAAGAGATAGAAGATATAGGAGACATAGTATTATGCTTAAAACGTTTACAATTTCACATAAAATGTGCATAATAATAAATTACATGTAAAGGAAGCAATAAATCCTCTGGAAGATTTTCTTGGTCAGGCATTATTAGGGAACCCATTACAGAGGATGTTAGGATTTAGATTGGTCCTTAAAAGACTTTCCAAAGGCAAAGAGAAGAGGGGATGAATATTCTCAGAAGAAGAACCAGTACAAAGAAGAAAAAGACAGACAGAAATAAAGAAGGGAAGGAAGGAAGGAAGGAAGGAAGGAAGGAAGGAAGGAAGGAAGGAAGGGAGGAAGGAAGGAAGGGAGGGAGGAAGGGAGGAAGGGAGGAAGGGAGGAAGGGAGGGAGGGAGGGAGGAAGGGAGGGAGGAAGGGAGGGAGGAAAGAAGAGGGACATCTATTGCTCAGAGCAATAGGGTCACAACTTGGGATTAGGAATGAGAAACGGTGGAAAATTATCAGGGATGGGCTCCAGTCTCCAGACTAGGATGGGATGCTAATAATAGTAGGAACAACGTCATTCAAAATAGTATCATTCTGATTTGGTACATGTAAGCTGACGAGTTCCATTTTCAACCCATAACCAGAATTCACTGCCTCTCTGTTTGCCCATCTTTCACTTACCATCTTGTGTTATCTATTAATGCATAATGTGTCTGTACTATCTCTAGAGTAAAAGCTCTGAAGCATGAAACAGGGATCTTACTGCTTTTTGTATCCAGGACAGAGTAGGTGCTTAGCAAATACCAAATCACAGAATCATGCCCATAGACACCTAAGCCAGGGAGAAATGGAGTGGCACTGGAGGGAGACACATGTCTGGGTTCCTGATCTGGAACTGGCTGGACGTGGAAGTCTAGTAACAGTGGACTGCTCAAGGACCTCAAAAAGTCTCACTTCGGGGAATAGACAAAGCTAGATGTGGCCCTCCACCACTGAAAGCGCCAATCCTGGTGGGGTCAACCCCCAACACTGTGATGGAATTCACTGTACTGAAAATGACTGGACTCTGAGACTTAAGGGGGCCAGCATTATGAGGAGTGGTCTGGGGAACTAGAGAGGAAGGGGGAAAGAGCTTCCAGAAAGAGTCCTCAGCCCTTGGGTAGGGGAAGTGTGGGTTGGATGGTTGTGAGTTTACCTTAAAGAAGTGCATTTGTGGCATATGAGGTATCAGAATGTGGGCTTATGTGATATGAGTCCGGATGGGGAAAAGGAGCCACTGGAATAGTAAGACCAGAGTTATTCTGCCCTCCCAGTGCTTAGTGTCCATGATGCCTTTCTGAGTAGCAGTTAGGACTACTTCTGATGCCTGAGAGGGAGGAGAAGAGGGAGGAGAGGAAAGAAGAGTTAGGAGGGAGAAGGAAGTGAGGGAATAAGGGGTCTGATCTCTGAGGCCCTATAACTCAAGTGCTGTCTCCCCAGGGTCCTGTTCTAACAGGCTGAGAAAGGCTTCTTACCATCTCACCTTCTGTTTCACTTACATGGACTCTTCACTCCTTTCAGCCAAACTACATGTTGAAGCCAACCTTCCCCTGGGAGGTTTCTCAGATGAAGCAGGTAAGCCCTGGTAGTCTTGTCCTGCAGATTTGCTCTAGCAGCTGCTCCTCCAGCCTTGTCCCACTCTCCAGCCTGGTTAAGTTATTATCTGTCACCCCACACACTGACCTTGCTCATCTTTGTTCTATGTATGACTTTAAGTCTTTGAGGACAGTCCCTGTAATCAGAAAATCCTTGTAATTGCTCACCTTTTTCACTTACTCACCTGTTTCCTGAGTCCCTACTGTGTGTCAGACACTGAGAACACAGAGGAAGGCAAGACACTGTCCCTGCCACCAGAAGTTTCAACAGGATCTTTTCACTTAGCCAGGCATGTCCGCAGCTATTCTGAGACAGAAGCCTCCAGAAGTGAAGGACTATATTTCAACGAGAATGTTCCTACCCTAAACACAGCCAACATGTGCCGATATAAATTTTCATAGAAGATAAGTGAAAACTTTTCACTCTGTAAAAAGCTTTTCTTTGGAGTCTCTCCATAATTATATACACAACTCCACTTTGCGTTAAGAGGCAGCAGGGTTTATGAGTGTATTGTTCTCCACACTGTTCTCAGCCTGATCTTTAAAGTGAGGTCCACCCACAAATTTCTATGTACTATTTATGAAAGGGTGTTCCCAGAAGTCTTAGGTGGGGATGCAAGAAGTTGAGATTTGACCTATAAAATAAAAACAAGTGGGTTTTGTTTTGTGTTTCTCTGATTTTTCTTCTCCCCACATGCGAAGTCTATTTTAATGGCACATAGATTATTCCATTCCACAAGTATTAATGAGCATTTATGTCAAAGACAATATCAGGCCCTAGGAATTTAGAAGTGATAAAGACAAGGTCTTGTCATTAAGGAATTGTGTAATAAAGGTGATAGGACAAATATGTAGGTCACTTAATTATGAGCAGCTATAAAGGCTGTGAGAGGTATCTCTGATTCAGAGGAGGGAGGACTCAGATGTGGTCTGGCAGACCAGGCAAGTCTCCATGGAGGTGGTGACCTTGAGCTGAGTGGTAGAAAGCATGGAAGGAGAATCAGGGTAGACAGGAAGGGTCTTCCACAAACTTGGGTGGCATCGAACTTAGCCCTTCCTCATCAATCCTAGAGAGATCTCTACAGTAGACATGTCCCTCTCGGGTCCCCAGAGATCTCATCTAGACTTGGCCAGGATACTCAGCCCACTCAGGCCACTCTGAAAGCTAGAGCCTCTGGTTGCTCACTCACATGGGATTCCTTTGACCCATATCCCACTGTGTGCCACTGAGGAATCTAGCTCTGGGAATTGTGAAACATTTGCATAAATACTCCACTCACAGCTGCCTTCCAATAACATGTAGCCTGAAGGCTTCACTGGAGGATGTATAAAAGGCCTCCAGATTCCTTCTGGGATAATTTGTCCACACCATCCTCCTCTAGGGTGAGACTACCTCTGGGTGGGGAGACACTTGGATGTCTCTCACCCAGGTGCTGCAAAGGCAGGCCTGATCTCTCCTCTCGCCAGGTAAGAGAGCTTTAGGGCAGGGAGAAGGGAAGGGAGATAGTCCCTGCAAAAGACTTCAAATGAGTTAACATGGGAGAAAACCACAGAAGACAGAGGGATGAAGAGGCAGAGAAGATATTCCAGGCTTAGGACACTCAGAGCAAAGTAAGGTTGAGTGAAGAAAGAGTGGAGATTTGTTTCCCCTTTACACTTGAATATGGTGGACACTGGCCTGGGAAAGTGGATGGTCAGGTCAATTCAGCTGCACTTTGTTTAAAAAGACTAAGTTATTAGCTTGGTTGTTGGTGAGTGGGTCCCCTGGGAGTTCCGACCATGGCTTACTCCCCCAATTTACCCTTTCAGATCCATTTCTGTCCCTCCTGGGATGGATTTTAGAAGGTTGTAAATGCCAGCTTCATTTTGACGGTTCCAGCCCATGGAGAAAAGAACAAGGCCCTGACTTAATCCAGTGCATTTTCCTTCCAGTTTCCCCTCGCAAGCCCACCGATGTCACAGCAGAAGCAGCAATCTTGGAATACCCTTAGTGCTCCCAAATGTTCCCCTTCCCAGTGCCCCAAACCCTCCCTGGCTGCCTACTCTGCTCCTTGCTGTGACCCCTGCTCAGGAGCCCGGATCAGCGGTTCCGGTTCCCAGAAGCCTGGGGATCAGAGCCCAGCACATTCCCGGAGGGCTCGCCACAAGAAGCCCTGCTGCCTCAGTGGTGGGACAGTCTACCACATCAAAGAAGAGGAGTGTTAAGGTGACTGGCCCAAAGGAGAGGGACACAGGTACCATTGCTGTCTCCCCACCCAGCTTTCTGCACTCATTCCGCCGGGAAGCTCTGGGCAACCCTCCTTCTCATTTGGACTGGGAAGCACTTTCTGGCCCCCATGAGCTACACTCCTGCTTCTGTCTTCCAGCCACTCCTACAGCTCAGCAACAACTCAGAGCCAAAGCCTTGGCTGCTGCAAACCCCCGAGGTCCCTGGAGGGGCTGAGGGTTCTGCAGATGAATGCTGTACCTCTTTCTTTCCTCTCAGGATGCTTGCTGGTGGTGCTTCAAAGACACATGGTTTGAGATTTCTGTCTCTGTATCCTCATAGCCATCAACCTGTCATTGCATAATCCTCGCACTGAGAACCTCAGTGTGGTAAACATATGTTGAGCACCTACTCTATACAGTAATGTAATAGGAGGTTCTTTCCTGTTCTAGAAAAGCTTACAATCTAGTGGGGGAAGCAATGTACATTGTAGATTGAAATATGTAGAATAATAAATATAATTGTAAGGTGATTGACTTTTTTCTCGCTTCATGTGAACTCAAAGGGGGAAAAGAGTACAAATAGTCAAGGACAGAAGGGAGAGACATCCTGATGGTGAAGATCAAAAGTGGTTTCCTGGGTCTTGGAAAGAGGAATCTGAAGCAGACAGAGCATGCTGAGGGAGAACAGGCCTTTGGGGTAGTTGTTTTCAACGGGGCTTTTATTTTTTTTTTTTTTTTTTATTTTTTTTAAATTTTTTTTTTAATGTTTTATTTATTTCTAGGAGAGAGAGAGAGAGAGAGACAGCGTGAGCAGGGGAGGGTCAGAGAGAGAGGGAGTCACAGACTGAAATAGGCTCCAGGCTCTGAGCTGGCAGTCAGCACAGAGCCCGACGCGGGGCTCGAACCCACGAACCGCGAGATCATGACCTAAGCGAAAGTCGGATGCTTAACCGACTAAGCCACCCAGGCGCCCCTCAACGGGGCTTTTAAAGACCAGCAGACTTTGGTGCTGGGGGTGCAAGGAGGGGGAGGAATTTTCCAGGTGGAAATGGTACTTTTCATGTACAAGTAGGGTACTTGCCAATGACATGGATTTCAACTTGGCTGGACTGCCAGGTGTGAGATGACCATATGAAACAGCTCATAAGGCAGGCATGAAACTCCAGATTCCAAGGATCCTCTGTGCCCCTGGAGAGAGTCTGGGCCCACGCTTAGGGTCTGTTGCCCCCGAGTGGGGTAGACCTGAAGTAAGTACAGGTGCCTGGTGGGGCTTGAGACTTGAGGCTCAATGCAGTTGCAAATCAGTATAAGTTCCAGATGATAATTTTTAGCTGATTCTCATTTTCCAGGGGAAACTTAAAATATGTTTTTAACTAAGTAAGTACCCAGCCCAATGGATTCTGTTGCCTAGCCTCAGGGCAGAGTATCAGCTTATCTACCATTCCCAAAACTCAAGCTGCCAATTTTGAGACCTTAACAATCCTCCTGACTGCTGTGACCTGATTTTGCCTCTGCTAGCATCTCTCTCTCTCTGGAAGTATATAGATAGAGCCTAATTTTATATAATTATAATTCTGAATGTGTAATTTTTCTCTCTAAACAAATGATGCATGCCTGTATAAAGATGTATTAATGTAGATAAACATAAGGAAGATGATTAAGATCAATCAAAAATCTTACCACCTAAAAATAAATAACTCCTGCTAATAATTTCAGAATCTATTTCCAAACTTTCTAAAAAATCACAAAATGGGATCATATCAGAATACTTTATAACCTGATCTTTTACATAATAGTATAATTGTCAATACTCTTCTGTGCTAATAAATATTGACCAACACTATTATAGTCCATTGTATGAATGCATCATGATATGATTTGTGTAACTAGTTCCTTGATTTGGGAGACTTCCATTTGTTGCTTCCATGTTTTGCTATAAACGTTAGTAAAATAAACATTCTCACTGGTGATTATTCTAAGTAATTTTCCTAAGATAAATCTTTAGAATTTTATAATTGTCAAAGACTATGACTATGAAGAATTTTCTTTTCAGACTCTCCAGAAAGATTGCATGTTAGAGGCAATTAAAATGCCTCCATTTAAGAAAATCATTTTGTGAAAGGGATTTCTTTTGTTCAAGAGCAAGAATGAGTACTACATGAAAAATTACTATAGCTAAAGGAAAAATCTACTTTGTGGGGAAATAAAAATATACTTTCTGAGGAACTTACCAAGTATCTACCTGTTTTACTGCCATGAAATCTATACTTTTAAGAAAAGATTGTGTGCCTTCTCTTTTTGAAGGGAAAAAGTATGCTATTTATTGTATAAAGCAATGTCTTCTGAATTTTGATATACCATTGGTTGAACTTCCATAGTGGGCTGATACGTTTTAAATATCCTTGATTTTAGATGTTCAGTTATGTTTGTGTGAGAGAATTCTAGGTGAAAAAATCTCATTTTTACCTAAGGAAAAAATAAAAATGTCAATATTTGGATGATTGTGTAATATCTAAGTATCTCTTTTTTCTATTTTTATTTCAGTTCTATATTGAAAATGGACACTCACCAAACAACAATTAAACAAAAAGTTTTGACTGAAACAAGTTTTCTTTGACAAGAGTATTACTCAGTATTTGGTCTACTCAATTCCCCAGTCGGTACTTGGATTCCCTTTGCTAATTGTTCAACTTACCTATTATTGCATACTACACTGTCCAGTCTGCATTAAACTGACTTTGAAATTTCTACATTGAAAAAATCTAGTGATTTGATTATTATTTTTCTTCATGAAGGTCTGCATTTGTCATCTTTGCATTTTCTAAATAAGTTTATAAATCAAAAATGTTAATATTATTACATCTATTTAATGTGGTTTCATTTTAATATTGTGCATTTACCTTTGTTACATAATAAATAATTAAAAATGCAGACTTCACATTTTGTGCAAACATCTTATATCCAAAATCTTACATTTATAGGGATATCTAAAGGTAAGTGGCATGGCCAGTTTTCTTTTCACTCTATCAACTTTTTTAAAATGTTTCATTTATTTCTGAGAGAGAGCGAGAGAGAGAGAGAGAGAGAGAGAGAGAGAGACAGTGTGAGCAGGGGAGGGTTAGAGAGAGAGGGAGACACAGAGTCCAAAGCAGGCTCCAGGCTCTGAGCTAGCTGTCAGCACATAGCCCAACATGGGGTTCGAACCGACAAACCATGAGATCATCACCTGAGCTGAAGTCGGACGCTCAACCAGCTGAGCCACCCAGGTGCCCCCTAACTACACACTTTCAATGAATGTTAAATAGTTAAATGTTTTCAACATTTTCTAATTAGACAATTTCATTTTGAAAGAGCACTTGACATTTAATATGCTCTTTCGTCTAATTTTTAAAAAAATTACTGCAGTAGGGGCGCCTGGGTGGCTTAGTCGGTTAAGCGTCCGACTTTCGCTTAGGTCATGATCTCGCGGTTCGTGGGTTCGAGCCTCGCGTCGGGCTCTGTGCTGACTGCCAGCTCAGAGCCTGGAGCCTGTTTCAGAGTCTGTGACTCCCTCTCTCTCTGACCCTCTCCTGCTCACGCTGTCTCTCTCTCTCTCCTAGAAATAAATAAAAAACATTTAAAAAAAAATTAAAAAAAAAAATTACTGCAGTATTGCATGGGCTAAGTGAAGAACACATAAATTTTTTAAGAAAGTGAGCTGTTATATATTTTAAAGAATTCCCAGAGGGACTTTGGAAGACTCCTGGGTGAGCAATTCAACAGGGCACTGTCTTCTTCCAACCAGTCGTCATTGCAGCCTTCCTGAAGGGACATTCTCGCTTGGGACCTGAACTGAACCCAGTGACCTCAGATCAGGTCAGGCCTGCCTCATGGTGCCCGGCTCCTCCTGGTCTCCGGTTGCGACAGACGTGCTCTCACCAGCCTGGCCCCTTGGTCACGTCTAGGGAGGCTGGCCTAGCTTATGCCAGCTTAACTTTACAACATGCGACAGACCATACTTTGTTACTATATACTGTGCGCTCTATGATATAACACAAATAGTAATAAAAAGTCATTGTTTTTATTTATTCCTGTAAAGCTGCCACAAATAAAATATGAAAACGAAATCATCCTAAGGCAAAAGAAGCTATGTCGTGCTGATCTGATCTCTTATTTAACGGGAAGTCAGGAAGTGCTACCTCCACTTGGCAGGCAAAGGAATTGGGTTTGAGTTACGGTATTTAAAGTTACAGTGGTAAGCCCATAGGAGCATGAAAAACAAAACATGTCTAAATAAAAGGGAGGGTGGGAAGGGATGCTGACCATGATCCATTGTGCTTCACTGGGGAAGTAAATAGACACTTCTAGAAGGAGGCAAAGAAATAAATGTATATGTTGATTATTTAGAATGAGACATATTTCTTTTCATATTATAACCTATTGGATTACCTGATTTTTAATTTTCATGTAAATGTATTACTTTATTTTAAAAATACATGAAATCACATCCTGTTTCTACCTGTACCTATGTGAATCATAGGTCAAACCTTCCTTAACAGAACAAGTACATGTTCAGACCCCTGTTGAATGAAACCCATTTCAAATGTTTGAAAACCCTGTTATGCAAGCTTTTGTGTCTTTCTAGGCCTCAGTTTTCTCATCTAAAAACTGGGTGGGGGGCTTGGGTGACTCAGTTGAGTGTCCAATTTCGGCTCAGGTCATGATCTCACGGCTCTGGGTTCTGTGCATTGGGTTCTGTGCTGACAGCTCAGAGCCTGGAACCTGCTTCAGATTCTGTGTCTCTCCTGCTCACGCTCCATCTCTCTGTCAAAAATAAATAAACATCAAACTAAAATTTTTTAAATTATGTAAAATAATAGTAGCCTCACGAGGCTGTGGAGGGGATTATTTATGATGTCATGGGTAACATTCTGACATATTTAGCTCAATAAATATTAGTTGTAACTTACATTTGGTGTGCACTTAATTTTTTAAATAGGTTTCTTATTTAGAATAGTTAAAAATTGGGGAGCCTGGGTGGCTCAATTGGTTAAGCAGCCAACTTCAACTCAGGTTATGATCTTGCGGCTCCTGGGTTCGAGCCTCGCGTCGGGCTCTGTGCTGACAGCTCAAAGCCTGGAGCTTGCTTTAGATTCTGTGTCTCCTTCTCTCTCTGCCCCTCCCCTATTCACACTGTGTCTCTCTGTCTCTCAAAAATAAGTAAACATTAAAAAAATTTTTTTAAAAGAATAGTTC